ACACGTCTTAGCGCTGATAGGAAACGCCAGTCATTTTCTCGCACATTGGAGTCAGTTATAGACATAACTGAGACTGAATTTTTACTAAGCGCCCGTAGCGGCCCTTGATAAAACAATACAGTACATACGCCGAGATGAGAGCCCAATGAGGAACGTCACGGTTCTTGTCTCTGGAGATTTTCTCCACACCCTTCTTGTCATTACGAAGCCTTCTCATCTCTGGTCTCAAAAACATAAGTTGCGGCTGACAGTTGACGTGCCAACTCAGTTTAAATGCCCAAGAATTTTCCGATATTTTGTTAAAATAGGAGAAGGCAGAATGGATATCCTTTCAGAGAATAATGGCCTGGTGTGTCTTCCGGACGTACTTGGTAGAGTTATTTTCTCCGAAAGCACAATGATAAGTTCAGTATTCGAAGAACTTTCAAATGTTCACACAACCAAGAATTTTCCTGATGTGGTATCAGAAAATTTCTTGGTTATGTGAACGCGTTATGCCCACTGCAAGCATAACCAAGCCACTACAATAAATGAGAAATATGTTATAACAGAATCGTTAATCAAAACAACGCCACAAATTTGCCGGTTGAGTTTTTAAGTTCCCTTACTGCAAATGGCCTTCCTGCGCATAAAATTAAGAAAGAAGGAAATGTTTATTTGGTACATAAATAAATGAAAATTGTTTACAATAAAAAGAAATACAATTTAAATGCACCAAATAGGTTTCCACTCAACACGAGTTCACGGAGTTAGTAAACTTCGTGAATGCTGATTTTCAGAGAAAGCGTCCTGCGTGACAAAATAGTAATAAATAAAAGGAAAAAAAACAAATTTAAAATCAATAACAAAAATAGACGTTTAAATTGTTTTTAAAAGAATTAGCAGATTTGAAAAATTCAAAATTAAAGAAATCACGACCAAAGTCGATTTAAAAATGTGCAATGGCGGGTTCCATTTTCACTTTCTTAAAGTTACCTCTCTACAAAGGTACATGATTGAAGCTGAGATGTTTATTCCGTGAGTAGCACTCCCTTGATCACTCCGGGACGCAGTTGTCAACCGTCGGCGTGGGTTCGATTCCCGCACGGGACAATTATTTGTGTGACGCATAGTAATTGTTTCGGATATGGGTGTTTAAACAAAAAATAAACTCATTCTCAACAACCTCCCATTCCAATTAGAGCGCAGGCAATTTCCAGCACCAGCTTTCTTCGCAATGATAAGTCTCAGGTACAGATCATAAAGATCACCACGGCCATTTGTACGTGGCGTGCTCGCGGGACATTAATACGGATAATTTAAACGTATTAGTGATATTTTATTATATAAAGTGATATTTGATATATAAATTAGGTATATAGTAATATTTTATTGTACAAATCTGTCTGAATTTTACGCTTTCACCCTATTCTGCGCGGGCGTAGTCGCGGGCAACAGCTATTATTTAATAACCTAGTCAATTTATAGGTTAGTCCACCAAAAAAATGGCAATGTTACACTAAAGCTTTATTACTTTGCTTAAATCATCTATTAAACTTTTTGAGATACAGCATCTTTTAAAGTGTATCTAGCGTTATATAAACTGATTTACCTACATTTTTATTACAGTTTACACAAGTATTTGGTGGATCATAATTTTTTATTCAAACGAGTCACCTGATGTTAAGTGAATACGGCCGCCCATGGACATCTGCTACACCCGAGGGTTACAGATGCGTTGGCATCTTTTGAAAATTGGGCTCCGGCTACCTCACTCACCAGACGAAACGCCAAAGTATTTGTCATACTTCCACTTTACGCTGGTCTTCTGTGAGGTCGTGGTACTTACCCGGACGGGCCTGCCCATTCGTGCACCAACCGAGGTTGCTGCGTGGCCCTACCACCGTAAAATATTATATAGTATAGTGTTAATATTTATCAGTAAATTTGAACATTATCCAGTTGGGAGTTAGTAGTCTTTAGAAATTAATATATGAAAATGTATGAATTATAAATGGAACTAATTTTACGGATTTATCGCGTTTATTTTTAATTTTAATTCCCGACGTTTCGAACCCTTTACAGCGTTCATGGTCACGGGACAGACTGAGGTGTTAGACGTCTGATTGTCATAGTTAACCCGGGCTACCGTCAGTTTTTGAATTATTAATTTTGTGTCCGATCTATGCAGAGGGAGCTAATTGTATCTTGTCTTGCAGTAGTGGTTCGTTTGGGCCTAGATTTAATTTTATTGATGACAGGATCCCAAGCTGATGGTAGTACCCAACCTTCTTCTCTATTGAAATTAGGGTGTTTTTTAATTTCAATAGCCTCGCGAATCATCCTTGGGAGGAATCGGTGTTCTTTTGCAAGGATCTGTGGTTTGTCAAACCTGATGTAGTGGTTGGGCCTATTCAAAATGTGCTCACAAACTGCAGACTTGTTCAATCTATTGTGTTTTATGTCAGCTATATGTTCTTTTCACGCGGGTTTTTATTGCTCTTTTCGTTTGACCTATGTAAGAGAGCCCACATTCACAGTCAAGTTTGTACACTCCTGGATCTTGCAGAGGGATATTACACTTGACAGATGGTAAAACTGACTAATCTTCTTCAGCGGCTTGTAGAATGTATTAATTGAAGCCTGCTTTAAGATATAGCCAATCTTGTCGGTGACTCCTCTGACGTATGGTAGAACAGCAGGTACTCGCTCCACTGTGGCTGGTTTCACTCGGTCACTGTGACGTAGGCGCGGTGCTCGAAGCTTGTTGTCATGCAGAACTTGCTTGACATGTTGAAGCTCAGCGGCCAGGTGTTGTTTGTCACAGATCCCTTGTGCTCTCTGAAACAAAGATTTACCCACGGTAGCTAACTGGGATGGATGGTGGTGAGAATCACCGTTTAGGTATCTATTTGTATGGGTTGCCTTCCTATACACAGTGTGACTTACAGTGTTATTTGGATTGCGGATGAACGTCGGGAATTAAAATTAAAAATAAACGCGATAAATCCGTAAAATTAGTTTCATTTATAATGTGTAATCGCGTAAATACAAGAAATTATTATGTATGAATTAGTTATAAAAAATTAAGAAATTAGAGAATGATTTGGCAAGTGAAAGATTCAAACATTGCAATATTTGGATTTTTTATTTGAATAATTGTTTATGACCTTTATCATATAAGATCGCCGAAAATATCAATAAAATCAAAATTCAGCAGTGGCCATTCATAACCAGTTTATTGCTAAAATTTCCACTGCAGGCCACAAAGTGTTTAATGTCATTTTTACTAAATTGACGTTATTGAAATAACACAAATATGAAGATAATATAATGATTAAGTTAAAGTGATCAATCATCAGATCTAGACAAATTGTAAATAACGGTCGTGCAATGATCGTAACGTATTCATGTTAACATAAATAACAAAGATAACAGACTTAAAAATACTTCTACAAACTTTCACGCAAGACTATTGGTTTTACCTACACCGATAAAAAATATATGTATTTTAAATCAAATATTTTAAGGCCGGCGTGAAGTGAAAGAGTATAATTCTGCGTTATGTCTCGTAAGGTAGCCAGGACTCACTTTATTTAAAAGTGGCAAATTGTCTGAAACTTTTGCAAATGGCTTACTATGTAGGTATAATAACAGGACTAACTCACACATCATTTTATCCTTGAAAAGGTACAAACGCAGTTGGTTGTTAATTATTTATCGCTACAGTAATAATAAAACATCATTCACCTTTTAGTTTTTATTAAGTTTTTAGATCATAAATATAGCGATGGCATAAAGTTACTTTGGTAACACTGGACTTGAACGCAAGTGAACTTTGAAATCGTATAATAGCGAATCGGAAATTAACTCCAATACCTCTGGACTACTGAATGACGAAAGTGGAAACAGGAAAATAAGATATTAAAAACATAAAAACTAAATCCTGCACAAAGTAAGTGACGTAATAGTCTTAATGATTAAGTTTAACTAATCCTCAATATTTGAAACACGTAGGTACTGACACTAACGTCG